GTACATACGTACACACACACACACACACACACACACACTCACATACACATGTAAAATATTGATTAGAACTTCAGCTTCTCGTGATGCATTCTGGGTTACACTAAAATAGTTCAAATTATGGTGGTAAAATTTTTCATATCTTTCTAAATTCCGTCGAAATTTTGTCATTTTGTCGTCCTTGGAAATTTTATTATCAAAAACTATTGTCAAAAAAAAAAAAAAAAAAAAAAATAAGAAAGAAAAGGAAAAAAAGGAAAAAGAGAAAAAATATTTAGAACGATTAAACTTTCATAATGTTAAATACTGATATCGATTCTTCGCACATTGCTTTATCATTCCTACATGTTATAGACATAAAAAAAATTTCTTATCTCGAACTTTCTTGAAATTATATATTTCTCAAAATAATCGAGCTATCAATTTTAAGCACTCTTCTATTTTTCTTTTTTTTTTTTTCGATTCAAAAATATTAAATCTGCCATCAAACTTGATACTATCGGACGTTCTTAATTACTTCTTTGAAATTCTTATATTGCAGTCATAAATGATTATTTTTTATTTCTTCTGTTTTCTTTTTTTGTTTTTTTATTTTTTTCTTTTTTTGTTTTTTTTTTCAATTTATTCTTAGTCATTAATTATTCTCAATTGAATCCTTTATAAATCTGTTCAAATTAAAGTTACGCACTTGTATACATATCTCTACTTTGTGTTAAATTTTATCAATCTTATTTCAATAAAAAATTAATTCTTACTTCATATCCAAAATTTTAGATGTATGTTTTTATTTTTCTTTTTTTTTTTTCAAGGATAAATTATACCTTTATTTGTTAATGTAATATAATTATATTGATATAAGTAATGTTATAAAGTCTTTTTAAAAAATTGATAAAATGTGAAGTTAAAATGTGTTAAAACAAATAAGCAAACAAATGATAAACCATTATCTTCGGAATTATTTGAGATATATAGTAACGCGTTTATGAAGTTTTTACATTTTGTATCAAAATTTACGCTCGGATATGTGTGTGTGTGTGTGTATATATATATGTGTGTGTGTGTGTGTTTGCTCTACCGTCTGGATGGATTAACCAAAAATTGAAGTTAACTGGAAAAAATGAAGTTACTCACAAAAAAAAAGATTCTCAAGTAATTTCAGTTCGATCCGAGTTTTGATTTTAAAATGGCGATATTTTGGAAAAATTAAAAAACTTTATTAAAAAGATTCAAACGTAAAAGAAAAGAATTGGAACTTCTTAGAAAAATTTTAAATAGTTTCAGGGATAATTTGTTTGCAATTTTTCTTGTCTATCTTGAAATTCCTTATCAGAATCTATAGATAATGGATACAGATCCTATGCATACAGATTTATATGCATGTTGCATAAACGCATATATGTATACGCATTTGTGTACATATATGTAATGTATATATATATTGTATATGAATATATATGTATTGTATATGAATATTGTATATATATATATATACAATATTCGTATTACAAACTAAATTGTTCGACGAAGTTGGAATATATACCAAAAATCAATTTACATATTAGAAAGATGCATGGATAATTTCGATTTAATTTGATTTTCATTTCCAAAATGGTGGACATTTAAAAAATTAAAAAATTCATAAAATACTGCATATGCAACGGAAATAACTTAAAATACGGTTGCATAGAAGTACAAGAGGTTTTCTTTTTTTATATATATATACACACACATATACACACACATATACACACACACACATATATATATATATAATGTACATGAGACACATGAATTTTATGATAAATAAAATTTTTTTGTAACGATATATGATTAACAAAAATTTATATATGCAATGGAATTATCTCTTAATAATACCATTTAATTTTTAAATAAGAAATTTATACATGTGTATCCAGTAAATTTTATTTCACTTTATCGTTAAAAATATAATCGATATTTCATCTCCGAAGTAACAATTTTTCCATATTTTTTTCATTTCGCATAGTAAAAATTCTACCAAAATATTATTTTTATTTCCGTTTTTAAAAAGAGATCATGTAACGTTAAAGCTATAGTACAACTTATAGTCAACAAACTTTAAAAGCTTCGAATATGAACAATTAACTTTCCGACAAAAAAAAAAAAACAAAAAAAAGAAAAAGGAAAAAAAAAAATAAAACATGAAAATAAAATAAAATAAAATAAAATAAAACGAAATTTAAAACGTACAAAAATATAAGCACGTAACGTCAAACAAACTATATGACATTGGAGAAAATAAAAAATGAAATAGTAACAAAAATTTTTACACTACCAAGATATTAATATAATTATTTCTTATAATAATAATATTATAATTTTCTTATCGTAGTATAATTTTTTTTCTATCGTAGATATGAACCAAATTAGGCTACAAAAAATAAAATAAAATAAAATAAATAAATAAATAAATAAAAAACATTGTAAGCATAGAGTAATATTGAAAATAATTTTAATATCAGTCATTGTACCGATCAATCCTATGTCATATCCTTTACACAAAAATTCAAATATTCAATTTACTTGATAATTAGAATCATTTCGAAGATAGATATGTATTTAAATATCTATGGAAGACGAAAACAAAAAAAAAACCAAGATCATTTACAAAATTTAATTTTGTGATCGTATCAAA